GGTTTTGGGTTTAGGGTTTTGGGTTTCTGGTTTTGGGTTTAGGGTTTTGGGGTTTAGGGTTTTTGGTTTAGGGTTTTGGGTTTAGGGTTTTGAGTTTAGGGGTCATCTATAAGCTTGGGCTAAAGAGCACGTTCTCTGAAGTTTCGGATTTTGATAGGGTTCTCGGCAGGGCTTTAGGGCGTGAGTCTACGGTCGCCCAGCAATGTAGGGGCCTAAATAACTACTTATACTATTTTGGGGGTTCCGTATTATAATGATAGTGTAATAGGCCCCCAAACCCTATTCTAATTTTTACGGCCCCTATATTATGCCTGAAGTGAGGAATCGTCCATAATTACCCAGTACGCATAGGGGTAGTTCTCTAACATTAGGGTCCCTTTCTAGGGTCCTTTTTTCTACGGGTGCCGCAGTATTTGGGGGACTGAAGGAGGATTTAAACTTAGAGAACCCGAGGATCCCTTCCTAAAGGGGTATAGGGTTTAGGGTTTAAGGCTTTAGGGGTTTGGGGGCTTAGGGTTTAGGGTTTAGGGTTTAGGGTTTAGGGTTTAGGGTTTAAGGCTTTAGGGGTTTGGGGGTTTATGGCTTAGGCGCTCCTGACTCCATCCCTGGATCCTTCAGGCAGGGTGGGGTTTAGGGTTTAGGGTTTAGGGTTTAGGGGGCCATAAACCCTAAACTCTAAACCACAGGGCATTAAGGCTTAACGGCGTTCTATGGGTGAGGCTTTGGGCATTGGAGGGTTCAGTGCTTCATGGTTTCACCAAGGGACTAAAGGAGGGACCCTTAAAGGGACCCTTGGGGTTATATAGGGGCTTTATGAGACTATATAAGGGGTATAGAAGGGTTATATAGGGTATCAGGATTAGGGGTCCCTCCTATGTCCCTTAATTGCAGGCTTTAGGCCTCGGGGCTAGTCCTAAACCCCAAACCCTATACCCTATATCCTAAACCCTAAACCCTAAATCCTAAACCCTATACCCTATATCCTAAACCCTAAATCCTAAACCCTAAACCCTAAACCCTAAACCCTAAACCCTAAACCCTATACCCTAAACCCTAAACCCTAAGCCGCGCAGGTTTTGGGTATTTAGCTGTCCGGGCCAGGGTTCCCAGGGTTTATAAATTTAGGTTAGGGACCCAAAAAGGACAGAAGCATCAGCATTTTATAGGGATATCCCTACCTTCTTGGGCTCCAATATAGGGGGTGTATATGGGATATCCCTATCCTAATTTTTTGCTTATGTGCTGCTTTGGGGCCCTATTGGGGTTTACGGTTTAAATTCATCCTACAAGCCCAGGAAGCTCGCGGACCTTACATCACCCAGTCATACGGTCATAAGGTAACACACAAACCCAGGTGCGAACCTTGAACCCGTGAGTCTCTAGATCCTAGCCACTCATGTTTAGCCTACTTGCTGCACTCCTTCCTAGACCCAACCGCTACCACAAGCTCTCCTTAACCCTAACTTTCCATCGCCATGTTATAGTACATAGTTACAGGGTATGCCCCTGAAGAAATGCCATGCTCGTGTTGTTTCATGTTGCTTTCGGCTTCGCACGGTGGATGGTGAGGTAGAGTGTACCTGCTCTTGTCGCCCCTAAACAATCGATCAACCCATCCTACCAGCCCAAACACTGAACTAATCCCTAACCCGAAGCCCGAAACACACGAACAATTATGATCTACAGACTCTAACCCCCAAAGTTGTTAAACCCTACCTTGACCTACCAAAACCCACTTTGTTGTAGGTTCTCGTTATACACCTTAAACCGGGATTCATAGGGACCCTACCAAAAAAAGTAGGTCTTAGTGTAAACCTTTTCTTATAGAGCTCAAGCCCCCTGCAAACCCGGAACCTTGGCGTTTAGGGTTTAGGGATTGAAGAATCAGGAAGCATGGCGAATGAGTGGTACTCCTATAAGAGACTGAAACCTTACCCTAAACCCGAAATCGTAGCCCCCTGAAGCTTTACCCCCTAAACCCTAAACCCTAAACCCTAAACCCTAAACCCTAAACCCTAAACCCAAACCTATTCAGCCCCTGGTGGGTTATGATCCGCCTCTCGCTTTTCTTCGGGCTTTTGTACAGCACCCGACTCCAGGCGGGGTGGATTAGATAAATTTCTTGAGGGTTCGGGTCTTCCCGTCCGATTTAGGGTTTAGGGTTTAGGGTTTAGGGTTTAGGGTTAGGGCCATTAGGGGCTGAGGTCGGGTTTAGGGTACTTCTGAAAAGTCTGGTGAGCATCATCGGTTTAGGGTTCAGGGTTTAGGGTGTAGAGGTCTTGGGGCATCCTGGGGGTTTGAGGGTTTGGGTTTAGGATTTGCTGAGGGAACTCTGGACATCAGGATTCTGTATCAATGGTTTTTCTCCTTTTGGAGATGCAACAGGTGAACCCTCTCTTCCAGGACTACCCAATCTGCATATGAATAATGCCGATACACTTAGCCAAATGTTGGTGATGTTGCATGAGTGTTTGTGAGTTTGCTTGTGTGTTTGTTTTGTGCTCATTCTAGTATTTCGTATTCCTTGTGCATAGGTTCGTTATCGTATTGATTGCAGCAGTAGCTACAGTAGCAGTTGTAGTAGCAGCAGCAGGAGGACTAGCAGCACTAGTAGTCGTCGCCGTCGTCGTCGTCGTGGTCGTGGTAGTAGTCATCGTAGTATTGTCATCATGGCATTATCGCTTCTACTGTTGCTCTCACTTTTGTTATCATCACTCTTGCTACTGTATGTAGCTTTGCTGCCAAGTGCGCAGCGCACTTTCAAGCCTGATCCCTGAACTCTTGACCAGAAGCCCCACAACCTTGTAAGCCGACACCCTGACGCCTGTAGACTGCAGACCCTGAACCACATGGCCCAAGCCTCTAGTAACCCTTATAATTAGCGGCCTCTATACTAACACTTGTAGAACCCTTACTGTAACCCTGATAGAGCCTGCATAGTAACTCCTAGAGTGACACTTATAGAACCATTACAGCAACCCTCATAGTAGCCACCCCCGGCCTCCTAGTCACCCTTTTACAACATTTATACTGGCTCCTATAGTGACACTTATAGAACCCTTGCAGCAACCCTTCAACTAGTAACCCTTATAGAACCTTTCAAAGAAACCCCGACAGTGACACTTTACAGTAACCCTACATGTAGTAGCCCCCCGGGTGAACGAAACGAACCCTAAACCCGGAACCCTATAGACACTAAACCTTAATTTCCCTCTATAGACCCTAAACCTTGCAGCCTGTAGACCCAAAAACTTGAACCCTATAGACCCTAAACCTCAAGCGCCAGGTGAGCGAAAACGAACCCCAAACCCCAAGACTAAACAACTTAAACTCTATAGACCCTACATAAACCCTAAACCATATAGACCCTAGGCCTTCAACCCTATAGACCCTACACCCTCAGTTGTAGAACCGTGTTTCGCCCCTTCAAAGGAACCCTTATAGAACCCGTGTAGATCCCTCCCTAAACCAAACCCTAAACCCTAAACCCCTAAACCCTAAACCCTAAACCCTACAGGTGAACGAAACCCCAATCGTGGACATCCGGCCCTGGCCGGAAGCGACAGAGGAGTTCCAAGAGGAGCCTGATTCTCTGAAGCTGCGCCAGGCTCCTTGTACTTGGAGGGTCGAGAGACTTAGTAAGTAGGTAATAAGTAGACTTATAAGTACCCTAAAAGGGACCCTAATTGGGGTTATAGTACTTATAAGTCTATAAAATAGCCATTTACTAAGACCCCCGACCCTCCAAGTAAGATTTGGGGTTCTGGGTTTGGGCTCTGGGTTTAGGGCATTATAGGGTTTAAGGTTTAGGGTTTAGGGTCTGCTGAAAATCCCGAAGCCTTAAAACCTAAGCCCTAAAACCATCAAAGCCTTTAGAGTCTGTGCGTTTTACAGATCTGAAGAAGCCATATATATGAAATGAGGTTTAGCAAACGGTTGTCGATTTCTGCGAGGTTGACCAGTAAGTAGTAAGATGACGGCATCTTCTTCAATCGATAAGCGTATATGGCGCTGACCCCGTCTTTTCGAAAGACAATCCTGACCAGGCATGCGCACCGCTGCTCCTGAGTGCTGGGCTCGTGGCTCTTGCGCAACTTCGAGGAACCACTGCGCGAGCTCGCCTGGCTTCCGGATTCTCGGTAGAGGAACTGCGGTTCGAAGATGAGCCCCGGAAGACTACCAGTGAGGCCAGCACTCCCTGTAAAGAGCTGCAAACTACGCCGAGCACCCCGACGACCCCGAGCACTTCTACCAGCTCCCCACAGAAAGGCAAGGGCGGCAAGGTGCCACCACCTCCGAAACTGAGCTTGTTTTGGAAACGCTTTCTGTCTTATAGGAACCACTTTTCATGAGGTAGAATCTGATTCTGTATGTTTGTCTCTTGCGCATGTTCCCACAGATCTGTTGAAGCCGTTCCGTGAATATCCGAAGACTGTATTTCCTAAGCTCCAAACCATAAACCCTGCATGCCCCATTGCTGATAAAGCCAAGCGTTGAAGGAACCCCACTATGCTCCTTATTAAAGGACCCCTACTTCAGATCCCTTTAAGGAGCCCTTACAGGAACCCCACTATAGATCCCCTTAGGGAGCCCTTAAAGGAACCCCACTATAGATCTCCTTAGGGAGCCCTTAAAGGAACCCCACTATAGATGCCCTTAGGGCCCCACTATAAATGCCCTTATAAATGCCCTTAGGGAGCCCTTAAAGGAACCCCGCTATAGAGCCAAGGAAGGGAGCGGGCAACGGGCCCAGCAAGAATGCTGTAAAGGGCCCAGCAGGGACGCCCAAAGGAAAAGCTGGCGTCAAGGGCAGCTTGGCGGATTCACAAGGGTTTAGGGTTTAGGGTTTAGGTGCCTGAATACACGTAGGAACACTATTTCTATAGAGTCCTATAGAGTTCCTTTATAGAATGATACTATGTTCTTATAGACTTCCTTTTTAGAATGATACTTCAACAGACGTCAAAAGCCTATTCTCGTCATTGAGAAGCCTGCATTGAGGCTTGTAGGGTCTAAACATTGAGCCCTTGTAGATGTGACGAGGCCAGGTCTGTTCAATCAAGAAAGGCGTGCAGACTTAAACAACATCTCGGACCTGCCTTGCCATTCAATAACTTGCACCCTCCTCAGGGTTTACTCCTTCCCACTCTAAACCCTGAACCTGAACGCTAAAGCGCGACGATGGTATCAAGACGACACAGAGACTTGGATTTGGCACCAAGCAGCCAGGAAATGCCCTAAGCTGTTAACCTGAAGCCCTGCATCTCACACCTACCCTCTTGTGTGCGCTCCTTTTTGCTTGCGGTTTCCTTACATAAGTACGTGCAAAGGCAAGATATTTGGGGTTCAAGTAGGACGGCCATTGTGGGCTCCCGGCACCGGGAAGTGTATGGTTCTAACATGTTCTAAGTTCTAACAGCTACATCACCCCATATCAGCTTATATTTTCCGGCAGCATTAGCAAAACACTGTCGAATGTGGTGTTCTGCCATATTCTATGGTCTGTCGTCTTGAGTCTTGACTACTTTGAGCTGGAGGGCTAGGGAGAGGCTATGCTCTGTTTCATGACACTAGTTTATACTTGTCTATCAGTCACTGAGCATCCCCTGAGTAGATAGTAATTATTTAGTGTTTAGGGTTTCTTTTTTGTTGAAGATATGCTGGATTACCACCTACCCGAAAGCCCACCCATACTACTACTATGCCTAACTAGACCCTTAACCTCAAACCCTAAGCCCTAAAGCCCTTAGCCGTAAACGCTAAAGCAATTGTTGCCCCAATATATGGGTAGTTCCCTAAAATGGGGCCCCTTCTAAGTCCCCAACATAGTACGGCACCCTTATTATCGGACCTCTAAAAGGGACCCTCGTTTAGAGAACTACCCTTATAGTACCCTTATAGTAACCCTTATAGTAACCCCTGTAGCCTGTAGATCCCTTTAAGGGACCCCTAAAAGGGACCCTAGTTTAGAGAACTACCCATATGAACCTCAAGGTTTGATAGATGCAAGGGGCTCACACTGCGGAGGTTTGACCGCGGACCTAGAATGTGGGGGTTTACTTGGAGGTTCAGGGGTAGTTATTCATGGGCTATAAGTAGGGTAAGTATAATTATAACCCAAACTAGGGGACTTATAACCATACTTATAACTGCCCAGGGGGGTTTAGGAGTTTAGGGTTTAGAGTTTTGGTGTTAAGAGTTTAGTGTTTAGGGTTTAGGCGTTTTCAAGTTTAGGGGAAAAGGGGTTATAAGGGTTTCGAACCGGAAGTAATTATCCCTAAACCCTAAACCCTAAACCCTAAACCTGAGCCGGAGCCAACTCCCCAAACCTCATCACCCGAATTTACACTTTCTACGACCTAAATGGGGGTTTCCGAAAATCAGGGGTACCTTAATTTGGGGTTCTTATAATAAGGATCCTACTATGTAGGGTACTATATTAGGGTCCCCTATTTTCGGAAACCCCCAAATGAACGGCACGTTGCCGTGGCAAGGGCCTCGAATGAAGATGTCCTACACTTCTGGAACCCCCCCAAATATACATCCTTGTCAAACCTTACAAGTTCAAGCAGTTGATGACGCCCTAACCACCCTAAACCCGAAACCCTAAACCGTTGAGTTTAGGGTTTAGGGTAATTGCAGTGTTCTCTAGCCTGAGGAGTCTAGAGGCGTTTGGCGCAAGGAGTCGGTTCTTTTGTTCTGAAATCTGGGGCTAGGATGCTCAGCATCATCATTTTTTTTACTTTTTTGGGGGTATTGGTTCCTAATATAATATAACTAACCCAAAACAAGTATATCCTTTTTCTCAGTTGGTTACTGAACAGCTTAGTTTATATATTTATAGTATAATCTGCCCCAAAACCCTATTCGAACTATGAAGGCCCCTATATTAAACCCTGACTTTTCTCAGGTGGAAGAGGTTATACACCCTAAACCCTAAACCCTAAACCCTAAACCCTAAACCGGTGTGCGCAGAGCCAACTTACCGAGAAGGATCCTCCCAGTGTTACCCGAGCCCAAAAGGTCCTAGGTACGCCGTCATGGAGGATACTGTCCCAAGTCAGAATTAAAGACTGCTCATATGTATGTGTATATATCTAGTTATTTATTTTTTATATCTATCTAAGGTTCATTTCCTAGGGTTTAGGGTTTAGGGTCCCTAAACCCTACCCTAACCCGTAAACCCCGAACACTGAAACCCTAATCCCTAAACCCTAAAACCCTTTTATGCGAAGCCGGCGACCCACTCCTCACTCTGCAGCCGAGGTGGCAAAGGAACTCCCCCAAAAGGAGGCCTGGTTTCGGATGTAGGATATTTTGGGGTTTAGGGTTCCGGGTTTAGGGTTCAGGGTTTCGGATTTAGGACATTCTGTGGTATATGGTCTAGGGTTTACAGTTTAGGGGTTTAGGGGCTTAGGTTGTAAGCATCAAGGGCTTCGGCAATAGTTGCATTCTCAGTAAACGGCCCTTTGCCTTTCAGGGCCTCTGTCTTGTAGGGCATGTGGTTTTGGGGTTGAGGCGCTTGTCAAGTTCAGTGCTTTGGGGCTGCCGGTAGATGCCTTGCTTACATACTTACGTACTTACTTACTTACTTACTTACTTTCTTGCTTACTTACTTACTTACTTACTTACTTACTTATTTACTTACTTACTTACATACTTACGTACTTACATACTTACATACTTACATACACATACATCCATACATACATGCATACAGCATACATGCACACATGCATACATGCATACATGCATACATACATTCTTTCATTTATTCCTTTTATTTACAACATACAATCCACAACATACATACATACATCCATGCATGCATACATGCCTGCACGAGTGCATACATGCATACATACATGCATTCATACATATATAAATATATGTATGCTAATATAGCTGCCCCCCAGCAAAGAGCTATGCGTAAAACCTATTCTGGTTTACTCTTTGCTGTGCTTTTATGGCTTAGACAGCCTACCAACGACAACCCGAAACACAGCCCCCGGTTAATTCGTAGCTTTTTGGGCTAGGAGTTCCTACGCAGGAAATCAGGAACCAAGAAGGATAGCCTTACAACTACCTTAAAGATTACCCCTCTATATACCTTACGAACTTCATGGAGAATAGGTTCCTAAATATAGGCTACAGAATACCTGCTGTACAATACCTTATATGGAATGCCCTATAGAATACTCATAGACTGTCCTTTAGCATACCATTTGGAATACCCTGTAGTAGAATACTTTACAGAAGACCGCCTATGTAATATACCCTTCGTATACCTTAAATATACCTTATAGAATGTCCTCTAGACTATTTTTTAGGATACCTTCAAAATCACTTACAGAATACCCTATAGCATACCCGATAGAACAGTTTAAATTAGGAAAATCAGGAGGAGCCACGATCTGAACCTAGACCATGTAACTTGTAGCTTATTGAATAAGGGGTTTCTAAGAAAGAATCCGGTAATCTAGGAGCACTGCCTATAGAATACCTTTCAGAATAACCTCTCTACATACCCTAAAGAAAATCATAGAACATACGGTAATGCTTTATAGATTGCCTTATATATCTTGTATACCTTGTTGGTTATGATACAGTTAGAAATAGCTTATAGAGTACCTGCCTATATATATATATATATATGTATATATATATATATACACACACACCCTAAGCTGTAGAATACCTTGCACAATATTTTCTGGAATATCCTATAGAATGCCCGATAGAATACGCGATATAATGCCTCATAATGATTTTATATATCCTTTTATGTTATATAGAATACCACCTTGGACACTTTATAGAGTACTGATACAATACCCATGTATATGATACCCCATGTGTACCTTATATATACCTATATGAACTTCGGTGCTATCGAACCGCCTTTGGCTGTCCTCATTCTCGGAAAAACGCAGCCTTTCTGAAACGACACCCTTTGGAACCGCTCCTGCATGTTGGCCGTATTCGCAATGGATACCACAGCGACTGGATAGCTTCAATTTTTGAAGCAAACCCTTCGGAAAAAACGTAATGTTTGCTATCGAACTGCCGTCCTAACGTCTGGAAGACGCAGCGGTTCCCATAGCAGCACCTTTTCTGAAGCGACACCCTGGAGAAAATTTGGTGCTATCGAGCCGGCCTTCGCTGCCCTCATGTTCAGAAAACTCAACGGTTCGATCGCACCAAATCTTCTGAAACGATAATTCGTAAACTTCTTTGTCCTGTCGAACCGCCCCTGTTTGTTGTCCGATTTTGCTGGAGAACACAGCGGTTCGACAGCACCAATTTTCGAAAGGAAACCCTTGGCAGATCGAAAGGAAGCCCTTCGGAAAGTTTGGTGCTATCGAGCCGCCCTTCGCTGTCCTCATGGTAGCTTATTGATTAAGGGATTTCTAAGAAAGGAATGAGGAATCCAGGCGAGTTGCTTTATAATACTTTACAGAACACGTTTTCTGCAGACCTCAAAGAATTTCCTACAGAATACCCTAGGTAAAGCCTCGTAGAATACCTTCTATATACCCTAGATATGCCTTTTTGAAGATCCTGTAGCTTATAGGGTTGTGTGCCTTATCGAACACCTTCCCGTATATAGAATACCTGATGGAATACCCTAGAGAATGGCCAATAGAATGTGCTATAGAAGACTTGATATAATGCCCTGTATATATATATATATACATATGTTTTATAGAGTACCATCTGGAATACCCTATGTAGTACGTTGTTATACACCCTATAAGAAAGTTAATGCTACGAGCCGCCTTTCGCTGTCCTCATTCTCGGAAAACACACCGGTTCGATAGCACCGAAATAGCAAAACTATCCGAGTCACTAGAAATACCCCATATCGGATAACTCGGTTAGTTTCCAACATAGCCAAATTATCCAAAGCTATCCAACTTATGTGACATAGCTCATGTCGGATAACTCAGATATATCGTAACGTTTCCGAATTATCCGAACTATGTGAAATAGCGTGCCAAGCGGAGTAGAGGTTTTGAGAGACGAAGGGCTGGAACGTGAAAGACGCGGTGGCTTGAAGCTGCTTTGCCATGCACATGTAGCGGATACGCACAAACAGACTGCCGCAGATATGCACATGTAGACAGTCACAAGAGCTGTGGGATATAGCAAAACCGAGAAGGGCAGAGGAGCACATTGAAATATCGACATATACTGAATTTCAATTTGGCGGATCCAAGATCCAAGATTGCACGGAACTCCTGGGAGGAATCTTTCGTTATAACTTCAATATGGCGGATCCAACATCTGTGATCCACGATTCCTCCCCAAGAGTCCTGCAAAATATGGCATCGTGGATCTTGGATCCGCCATAAAGAAATTAAATGTGGCTCAGTATTTCAATGTTGCCCTCCGCGGGGCCACATTAAAATATTGGGCCGCGTTGGGTTTCAATATGGTCGGTTTGTGCGGTCATGAGGAGATGTTCTGAGGCACGTGAGTGGAACGAGGGGTTTGTGCGGTCATGTTGAGACGATCGTGAGTGGAAGGTTGGTCATGGGGAGATGATCGTAAGCAGAAGGAGTTGAAAACAGATTAAACACCTAGATTTGGGTGGTTACCATAAATATATGTACATATGTATTTAGATGTTTGTATACGCATAATTGTATGCGTATATAGACATGCTGTACACACCGATCCCGTACTTAACACCGCGTTTGCATCAGGAGCCCTGGCTACCAAGCGGTCTGACACCTTCGAGGACCGTGAGGGGGAGGCAAAGGCACAGCCGCATCTCTGCCGCAGCTTACTTGGAGGTTCATGGGTCGTCAAGAAGTGGGGTTAAAAGAAAGGTAACTATAGTTATTACCCACAAGTGCGGTTATAAGTAAGGTAATAACCCATATTAGCGGACTTATAACTCCACTTGTAGCTACCCATGAACCTCCAAGTAGGGTTTTGGGGCTTCGGACTCTGGGTGAAGGTTTTGCAACCGGTCGAGGATGTAAGGTTTAGGGCTCGGGGCGGGCAGGTTGAGGGTGTAGGATTGAGTTTAGGCTTGTAGGATGTAGGTTCTGCAAGGCTGCATAGTGAGTCCATTCCACACATCCTAGACACACCAAAACCTTGCTCTTAGACGCAATGGCGGATATGTCGAGGTATGTATATATATATGTATAGTTAGTTAGTTAGTCTCTTCCCCCTGATTCAGAATTATTCGGCTGTCAACCTTGCATAAGTATGCCCTTCTGCGGGAAAACACGGTTTCTCCAGTAAGGCTTAGAACAGATGAACCCATTGCAACCCGAATAGACAAGCCTCAATGCGAGTTTCCCAGGTATACCCCACCAAGCACTTAACGATCCTAGACTTTAGCGTGCCTTCCTGAGTCACCGACCCAAAGTACAACCACACTACAGAACTCTTATCAAGCCGTCAAACCCTGAACCCAAAAACCCGTAACCCTAAGTTTGGAAAACTCTTTGGGCTGTCGGAGTTTCCCAGGTTCGGGACACGACGCATCCGCTGGAGAACAATCTCCGACCATGCGGGCACCGTCTTCGACGGCTTGGACAGTTGTTGAGATAGGGATGGTAGCTGAGGTTTCGGACCCTAGGCACCCTAGCACCCTGAAACCACAAAGTTTAGGTTCAATGGGCTTAGTGTTTTGGGTTTTTGGAAGGTTGATATAGATGGGGCCTCTGCTAATCTACAACTAGCAATAATTTTCACTGTCGGGTTGGTGATCTTTGCTTTTTCTCCTTGCCCTACAGGCCCTACCTTTGCAGCGGAATCCCCCGGCTACTCGCACTGAATGCACTGAATGGAACAAATCGGGTAGCATTGCGCAATCATTTGCTGTCATTTTCCCATTCTCAACAATATGGATGCAACAATGGTATACATCTGCCATCAAAGTGCATATGTGGACACAGGCTCTTGCACTTCTTGTACAACATGGTGGTGCTAAGTTTGATTTTCTACATCAGAGCCAATACATTGGAATGACTGCTTACACAGTGCCTGTGTTGTTTCTTGTTTCAGATTCAGTCGCACCAGCACAACTAAAGTCTTTCCCAAATGTAGCTGCTAAACCCTAAACCCTAAACCCCTAAGCCCTAAACCCTTAAACCCTTTGTCAGAAATCTTGCTTTGCAGCCCGAAATGGATCTTTCTGAAGCATCGACTAATCCGGGCAAATGTCGGCTGGCAACTGTTTAGGGTTTGGGGTTGCATTCTGTGCGCCCGCAGTCTTTTGTGATGCAGTCGGCCTGTGCGAAAGCATTCTGATAAGTATTGTCACTATGCTTAGCAATTAGTGCTACTACTACAAGTACCTGTGCTAAGGCGTTCCTTTATTTGCTAACTGGCCGATCCCTACTTTAGGTTTAGAGGAAACGCGAGTCGATTCCCTGGATGATACAGTAAGATTGGAAGCTCAAAGATATACTGCTGCATATTACCGAATATCTTCATGTATTTCTCAGGTCTCGCTTGAAACATGGACTACCTTGCCCCCACTTGAGATTGAAAAATGCTTTGCCGTCTAAACCTGCTGTCGCTAAGAGGTTCACAGCGGCTAAACATCGCATTGCCACATTCACAAAAACACTGGAAAGATGCAAGCAGCAACAGTTCCTTGAAACCGAACCGACTCCTGCAGACACTTGCTTGTGCCTGACTGGGCTTCGGACGTAGCATGTGAATGCAGCAAACAGCAAATCAACTTTTCGACTGAGCCGCGGAACCTCACGCGAGGATGTGCTCAATCTAGTGATTCAGATTTTCTTGTATAGTTGCTTGGCACTTGGCCGGTAAAGTACGTTTCGATGTTCTAAACTCTTGATGGGATCGTTTCAATCCTCAGTCAAACTCCTTGCAGCTTAGCTGAACTAAACCCTAAACCCTAAACCCTAAACCTATGACATCCACATGTCATCTGTAGCTTTCATCGCATCAGACTTTGGTCCGCACACACCCGAGAACCCTATTCTAATGATGCAGGCTCCTAGATCAAGCCCTAAGTTGATTTTGACCCAAATGCCCCATGTACCCATATAGTATATACTTAGGCCTTGAAGGGGCGCCCATATGGGTACTTCAAGACCTAGGTACATACTATATATGTACACGGAGGTCAAGGGCTCAGCAGCTTGTGTTTCTAGGGTTTAGGGTTTAGGGTTTAGGGCCTTTCAAAGCTAGACCTGTTCTCGACGAATCGAACCTTATCTTAACACCCAAAACTGGGTAGAAGAATGGCCCAACACCCATAAAAGGCTAGGGCTCTACATATTTTTGCGGTCCAAGAATAGAATCCTATAGAAGCCTTAACCCCTAAATCCTAAACTCTAAACCCTAACTAAGCTCTAAGCCTAAAGCCTGATAGTAAGCCGCGCAGGACCCTAAAGGAACGTAAATCCTAAACCCTAGCCGTAGCCAAGACCAGCTACTTGGAGGTTCATGGATAGTTATAAGTATGGTTATAAGTCCCCTAATATGGGTTATAAGTATAGTTACCCGANNAAACCCTAAACCCTAACCCTCAAGAACCTCCAAGTGTTCCAGGACAGCACAGCACCCTACAACGAAACTCGGAAGATGCTCCACGAGGTGGAGAGTTCTTTAAACTAAGGTTGAGGGTTTAGGGGTTGAGGGT